CCGCCAGCGCCGGGCTAAAAAACATGTCCGGTCTCGGTCTGTCTCTCACCACAGCCTCCTCGTTCTCAGGGCAGCGCCGCACAGGCGATTGGCTGCGGCGCGGGCACGTGACTCCGCGGGCACGGGACAGGCGGCGTGACCGCCCCGCCCTTTCCGCCGGCCCCTCCACGCGGCCCGCCTCTCTTTCAGCTCAGTGTCAGCGGCGGGGCGCGGCGGTGGGAGCGTACCAAGTGGGGGGTGGAGGTGGGAGGTGCGGTCGGAACTCCTCCCGGCGCACTCGTCCGCCTCGCCACCCCACCCGGCTGTCACTGCTTCCCCTAAGCCGGCACGGGGAAGAGGAATCGAAGGGTGAGCAGAAGAGGCGCAGGCGCCGCTGACGCTGACGCTGCTGGGCCAGGCGGGATCTGCAGTAGCTTTTTGTGGCGACAAGGGCAATGGATAGGACTGCAAGTTTCATGAAATGGCGACGACGGCAATGAAAAATAGACTTTAGATAGAGTATTCACGTTATTTTTGCATGTGGACAAGTTTGTGAGCTCGGTCGGGGAAAATGATGCTGCGATCTCGGCTAGAGGCAAAGGAGAGGCATCTACCGCTAAGTTGTGGGCATCGGGGGAGGCGGACCGCCCTTGCCCGCACAGCAGGGCGCCTGCGCGGCAACACCTGTGCTGGACCCTGCGGGACCCCGACCGGTGCCTGGGAGTTCCACGGAGCCGGAGCCGCTGCGTGCGGACTTTCACCAGCGCCAGGTGGGTCCGCAATGCCGCCCGAAAGAACGTGAACGTGCACCTGAGACAGCACAGACTCAATACGCTCTCCCATTCACACCTCCCAATGACCTTCGTCAAGAAATTTAAGTGCATTTTTCTACATTGAGTTTGGTATTTAAGAGGGAACTTCTCAGGTACTGGAGAAGAGTGCGTGAGGAAAATTTACCCTCTCCCAGCAGCAGGTGGACTTCCCTCTGGACGCGTCTTACTTATATTGAGTTTAATCTGCGACAATTTGTACATGCTTTTATTTAACCACCAAAAGGGTTACATAATCGGAAGGAAACCATTTTATTCTGACTTCCTTCTGGGCGCTTTATTTACATCAAGGTTAACTCTCGCTTTAGTCGGTTTGGCTCAATGGATAGAGCGACGGCCTGCGGACTGAAGGGTTCTGGGTTCGATTCCGGTCAAGAGCAATTTTTTAAAAAAAGGGTAACTCTTGAAATTGTGTACATGCCTTATTTAACCACCAAAGGGATTATAATTGGAGTGAAACCACTTCTTGCATCGTTAATAGTGGCCTCTAAGCTACAACACCCACCTGTGACTTAATGAGTACAGTTACAACTTTGTCACCAATCACAGATGATGTGCCATTTCAGACCTGACTGAGAAAGCTAAATCCCAACAAATTACTACATAAAGCATAAACCTGCATTAAAGATCAGTATTTTTTTCTTTACTAGGTTCCTCATTTCCCTACTCTAAAACATAGGGTCAATATTAATAGTAAGAGAGCACCTTGTGGCTAGAGATGGAAGATTATTAAATTTAATTTGGATATTTTTGGCATGAAATACAAAGAAAAAAATCCATTAAACATTTAAATAACTGATATCGCTTAAGTCATTGAATTGGTTCTCATTTAAGTCACTGTCATAGAGGTCAAGTAGTATTGATTGCAATGGGAATAGCTATTTCTGTTACACTAAGTACCTCCACTTAAAAATTGAAAGGTAGCTAATCTTGAACTTGCTGAAGTACATTAACCATAATTTATGGCAGCAGCCATATGTACAACCTTATCAAAATCAATGAATACAGGAAGACTCATAGGCAATCATGATCCAAGGTATTGTTATTGACTGCTCAATAGGACACTACCTGTAAAAGTTATTTGTAGAAATCAAGTTGCAAAAAATCTTTTAATGAAGCTCATATTAAGATTATACATGGAGCCGAAACCGGTTTGGCTCAGTGGATAGAGCGTCGGCCTGCGGACTGAAAGGTCCCGGGTTCGATTCCGGTCAAGGGCATGTACCTTGGTTGCGGGCACATCCCCAGTGGGAGATGTGCAGGAGGCAGCTGATCGATGTTTCTCTCTCATCGATGTTTCTATCTCTCTCCCTTCCTCTCTGTAAAAAAAAAATCAATAAAATAAAAATAAAATAAAAAAAATAAAAAAAAAAGATTATACATGGAAAATTATAAATCAGGAACAACCTGTTATTTGAAAGGTTCTAATGAAACTCATGAAGGCAAGAGGACCTTATTTTCCTTTTTGATGTGAAACTAGAAATGTAAATCAAGAAAGTAATTCTTATAGATATTATGAATAGGTCTCAAAAGAAACCTGAAGAAAACTAGTTGATTAGTAAGCTGCTAATAAGGCTTTTAACTGTATAGCTTGGTTTTTTGTTGGTTCAAGTCCTAAAATCCATCTTCAGTAAGTGGGTAAAATGTTTTCCTTACAGTACCAGGAGATCAAGGACCTCAAGCATTAAACATCACTCTTAGTCAAAGAAAAATTTTATCACATATAATTAGGATTAGTTATTATTAGCAGAAACCCAAAATGTGTATATTTGATTTATATGAACTAGAACCCATCCTACAAAATCTACTTTCCAACTTATTTAGAGCTTCACACCTTTAGCATCAATGACCCTTATGTTTTAACTACAGTAAGTCCAGATAGATCATTCAAAAAGCTGCCAGCCCTGGCCAGTATGGCTACGTTGGTTGGACATCTCCCCATGCTCTGAAAGGTTGTCATTCAATTCCCAATCAGAGCACATGCCTAGGCTTTCCGGCTGGGTCCCAGGTAGGGGGTGTGCAGAAGGTAGCCAATTGATTTTCCCCTGATGTTTCCTCTCAAGTCAATGTTTTTCTCTCTGTGTCTCCCCCTCTCCCTTCCTCTCTAAAAATCAATTAAAGAAATCTTTAAAAAATTTTTTTAAAAACTGCCATATTTCAGGAAGGTGAATATAATAAATGTAAAATAAAATCTCAGATGATAAATTATCATATGACTTAGTCTCTACAGATGTAAGACCTTTGCAATGAGTACTTTTTAAACAACATTTTAAAAATATTAGAGAAAGGAGAGGGGAGGGAAAGAGAGAGAGGGAGAGAGAAAGAGAGAGAGAGAACATCTAGGTGCCTCCCCCAGGAGCCGCAACCTGTGTACCTGCCCTGACTGGGATTCGAACTTACCACCTTTTGGTGTTCGGGACAACACTCCAACCAACCAAGCCACACTGGCCAGGGCTGCAAAACTATTATCATGTGCTGTAGAATTTTCTGGAGCAATGGCCTCTTCCAGTTACAGCAAGTAAATCTGAGCAATCAGTAACTTTTCCCCTAATAACTTTCAGTAGCAATTCAAAAACCAAAACAGATATTAAGATTCTTTGCCAATAGGGAGGATGAAAAGTTGAATTTTTAGTTTATTTTTGCCATTAAACAGCAATAAGTAAATTTCCTCCCCAAATGTACCTTTTTAAAACCAGCACAGTTAAGAACTGAGAAGAAATGAGGGATTGAGTGGTGGTAAACACATAGGCTAGAACATAACTGTTACCTCCAGCTCCTGGAAATTGGCAAAAAAATTTTACTCACTGTATCCATATACATTTTGGAACCATCTTGGATTACTGTAGTGAAATTTTACCTGCCAAATGTTTTTAAAAGCTATTCAGGACATCATCATTAGAAACAGTGCTTTTGTGTTAAGTATAATAGATTTTCAAGAAAAATGGGCAAAAAAAAATTAAGCAAGATTCAACTCAAATGACCTACAGACAACTACCTTATCCTCCTTACACTTACAGCCTGCTTGAAGTATCACCACAGTTGGAAATACAGTAACAATTGTATGCTGTAAATATAAAAATATTTCAAGAGTGCACTGACATAAATAAAGTTTATAGAAAGATCATGTTAACTTAAGACTTGGCTATGGCTAAACATGGAAAAGCAAAATGTATTTGAAATGTGAATTTTTATTTCACAATAACCTGTAATCTTGATAAAAATAACCTGGCAGTTGAAAACGGGAGTGGGAATGGGGTTTTGGAGTTACTATTAACTAGATTATGGAATAACGTCTTCATAGTTAGCCAAAGCTAGCAGAAGACTTTAAAATGGAGCTTTGAAGCCCTGGCCGGTGTGGCTCAGTAGGTTGAAGTGTTGTCTCATACACCAAAAGTGGAGGCAACCAATCAATGTTTCCCTCAATGTTTCTCTCTCTCTTTTTCAAATCAATGGAAACATATTCTCAAGTGAGGATTAAAAAAAAAAAAATGGAGCTATTAAGTTTGACATGGTACTTACAGAGCTATAAGTTGCTAAGTTACCACTAAGGTGTTCACAGGTTGAAATAAATATTAAAAATTTATGTAGATAGGAAATTCATATTTTATTTCTCCAGTGACATATTTACAGTTGAATATAAATTAAAGGCCTGCTTGCACACCAAAACCAGGTCCTTTGGGTGGTTCGGTCAAAGAGGTAAGACCCCCAGCTGGCTCACAAGAGAAGCGTCCACTCCTGGAAAGAAAAGCAAGTTAACATTAAATTGACTATTAATTATTACTATTTATAAATTTTTACTTAAAAAATTATGTTACCTCACAACAGCCCAGTTAAGTAACTATTTTTCACCTAATAACTAGCATATATTATTTAATCCAAACATTTCAACTGCTGCAAGATTTTCTCTTCGTAAAGTTGAACATGAAAACTGACATATCAAATTCACTATATAAATATGAAAAATATAAAAATAACCTAATAGTAGCTCCCATTTATTGAGCAGTGTATATACAGTATTAGCTCCTTTAATCTCAACAATGCCATGAGATAAGTGATTACTGGCCTTATTTTATACAGAAACCAAGTGTTGGGGGATTCAGCAAGTGCCCCAGTATCAGAGCTTAACTACAGGAAAATAACCTAACCCAGAGGACATTTTAAAAAATCATGTTTTAATAAACTGGACACTACATCTTTTATATTTGGATTTTATTTAGAATGAGATCTGTCATTGTGAACAAAGGGAATACACACTTATATATTATACTTTAAATAGAAACTGGATTCCTTGAGGAATTTGAAGATTTGGGAGGGATGTCTCTTAGAAGTAGTAAATACAAAATCTATTTGTATTTATATTTTTAGGCCATAATAGTACTAATTTTTCAAAAAACAGGACCCAGACCAGGGTTGCTAATAGCCAGAAAGGAAACAAGAACAGGTACTTATATAGGAATCTATGAAGAAAAGCAACACAGAGGTAGAAGAACCTGTCTGGTTTTTGTTTCACCCACACACATACTTTCCCAGGTATTGCCTCAACCTCTGCCCTGTCTAACCTCTGTTGCTAGAGCTCAACTCAGCACCTACCATTTCACCCCTCCTATTCCCTAGCTTTGTTCATTTACTTTGTTCCTCCCATCGATTTTAGCTGAAGAATTTGTTCAATTTACATCTTTTTTACTCCCTCTGGCTTTGCCCTTCACATTCTGTCATTAATCTTGTAAGTCTGTTTTTGAGTCCTAGGAAATCATTTTTTATTGAGAGGACAGAAAAGTGATACCACAATCATTTATAAGATCTTTCTAGCTATTACTAGTACATAACATAATGCAAGTAGTAAGTAGAGTATTGTAATGAGGAATGGCTACAAAGTCAGAAATTAGTATATTTGCATTATAAGTTACTATGAAAACCAGATAAAAAAACAGACACTGTGTACTGTCAAAGCCTGAAAGTTTCAGGGTAAATGGCAAAATGACATTTAGTTTTAATAAAAACAATACTTGGCTTTGTAATTTTTTTATGTTAACTAGTCACACAGGTATACCTGCTGCTCTTTTACTAGGTTCCCCCTTGTGGTTTAAGCTCTTTATCCAACACAAAGGACCGATTTAAGAAGATTATAAAAACCAAAATTTCTGGAACAATAAATGGAAGAGTTAATTATGTATACTGCCTGAGTTCTTCACAGGATTATAGAATTTTATAGAAGACAGTTATTTTAAGAATAACCTGGTCCAGATTCCTAAAGTTTGTTCTATGAAATGACAGTCCCATGACATACTTGAGGGGAAAAACAGAGCCCCAGGGGTTCTTATGTCTGCCTACAAATGTTCTCCTTCCCCTACCATTCACAAAAGACATATTAAAATGTTATAAAGGCAGTAAAATCTTCCAGTAAAGCCTACAAACTTTGTTTAATCTTCTAGTTGTAACTTTCCTCATTTTATCTGTAAACATTCCTCAGAACACAAATAGAGAGGCAGCGATCTAAGCCCGATTCATTCACCTGACAGTTACAATTTAAATTAGGGTTTTCACTTAATAAAAACTAAAAAATTTGTTTTCCTGATAATTTATGATTAAAACGCCATCCACTAATTACCCTGTTCTCTTCATCACAATTCAAAAGGTAAACCTGGTTTTTTTTAGCCATTCCAACACTATTTGTGTGTGTGTGTGTGTGTGTGTGTGTGTGTGTATATTTTTTTTTTAAATAAGAGTTTATTTAGAAAGTCACAGAGGTAGAAGAAGTGAGCCATAGAAGAAATGAGCTCAGGAAACAGGTTACCTAGGTATAAAAAGGGCCCTTGGAGCTTAGGAGAAAGGCAAGGAAAATGTACCTGAGGGAAGAGGTTAGGAAAAGGTGAGGGCAGACATGCTCCATAGAAAGAGCAGCTCTATACAGATTTTATGGCTTAAAAAAGTGCTTTTTAAAGAAAATCTACTTAATGAAAGTTTAGTGCTTATTTTTAAAAAAATATTGTTGAGATATATCCACCACTGTCCCTACTTTTATTATTTAAAAAAAAGTGACTTTAATGTCTAGAGTTATCCATTGGCCACCACCTATATATTTTTATGTATACTTTATAGCCTACCTATATATTTTTTACATCTAAAATATTCTGCATCCCACAGAATTCTGCAAAATTTAAGATGTCTTTATAAAACTAAACATGAAGAATTCAAACTGGATTCAAAATTATTTTTAGCTAATCCATACTGAAAAATAAACTTCTATTTAATAATTTGAAAACAAGTTTAGAAGTTATTTTCAATACTTTAACTTAAAATAAGAACAATCTCAGCACACAAATATTTGTTTATAATGTCAAAATAAAGAAAGTATTGTTTTACCATCAGTTTATGTGAAAGACTAATTTAGGTTAAACCATTAAAATTTATTATATAAAAATAAAAGCGTACCTTGGCCCAGGTTTTGGCATTTTGCCAGCCTTGAGCTCATCAATAATTTCTTCAATATCCTTAGGCGTCAGATCCTCCTATAAAAAAAATATTAAAATTACTTTCGCCCTAGCTGGTGTGGCTCAGTGGATAGAACATCAGCCTGCAGACTGAAGGGTCTCAGGTTCAATTCCAGTCAAGGTCACATGCCTGAGTTGCAGGCTCAATCCCCAGTGGGAGGCATGGAAGAGGCAGCCAGTCAGTGATTCTCTCTCATCATTGATGTTTCTATCTCTCTCTCCCTCTCCCTTCCTCTCTGAAATCAATAAAAATGTATTTTTTTAAAAAAATTACTTTCTACTTGAAATCTGTGCAAATCCCTAATATCAATTAGTTTATTATTTGTCTTTCTCAACTTACAAGTTAGTTACCAAGATAGCAGCAATGGAATAACTTCTACATATAGTATAAACTGCTAAATGCTATATGTATTAAGAGCTGCAGCTAAAGAGGCAATAGAGTAGTGCTTTGGAGCGAAACAGTTCTGCATTTGAGTCCTCAACCCTATCACTTACTAGCTAGTAATCTCAGACAAGTTACTTAGCCTCCCTAAGTCTGTTTCTTCATTTATAAACCTACTTGAGAATTAAATGAGAAAATATATAAAACAGAACAGTGCTATCTATGGCACATGCTCAACAATGCTGAGGCAGCACATCTATAATAATAAAAGTGTAACATGCAAATCGACCAAACAGCAGAACGACCGTGTGGACGACCCGCGACACGCACTGGTGCCAGGCCAGCCAAGGCGGGTGTGATGTGATTGGTTTGGGGGCCCACTATCACTCCACCACTGCCCTGCAGAGGGAGGCCCAGGCCACCACCCAAAGGGGCGATCAATGGAGGGGCTCCGCAATTGCCCCAAAGAGGGAGGCCCAGACCACCCTCTGTGGGGTGATCATTGGGGGGCTCTGCGGAACCGGGGGTATGTGGCAGCGGATGTGGGCAGCACCAGGCTAAGGCGGGTGTGGGAGGGGGACAGGGCCGTGAGGCAGCCAGGGCTGCAAAGGCCTACCCTTGCCCGAATTTCGTGCATCAGGCCTCTCGTAGTAAATAAAATAGCACCAGCAGGCATAGTAACTTAAAAGTAGATGACTAATATCTATCCCTAACCTAAAGATCTAATATCCTAGGGATATCTTTTTTTCCCAGGTGAATTTTACCATTTCAAAATTCATTTAATTTTCAAAGGGAAAGGTAAGAAAACAACAACAATAACAAAAACCCACCTTATTTTTGACACATTTTAATGATCCAGACCCTCAAAACCCCATTTCAACTAGAACAGCTCTATATTTTATATATTACACCTGTGTAAAATATTTGACTCAAGAAAGGGTTGTTATTTAAAATAAAAAAAAAGAAATAAAACACATAAACACATGCCCACTGTATGCCTAGTTGCTGCAACCTACATTTAATCAAGAGTCAAACAGAATGGCAAGATTAAACTAGGAGAAAACTATCTAAACTACATTATATCCATTCATCCCCCTCTAAAACTGTTCAGTATTTAACAAAATGTTTTGCAGTACCACCTAGTAATCTTAGACAAGTTACTTAGCCTCCCTAAGTCTGTTTCTTCATTTGTAAACTTACTTGAGAATTAAATGAGAAAATGCTAGAGAAATCATGATTCAATACTATTTTTCCAGTGCCTAGTCAAAAATTGCCTTTAATATTTGTTGAATAAGGAAACATTTTTGAAACTAAAAAGCTGCTTTGAAACTGCTTAGGGTTTAACAGATGTTAAGAACTTCATAGCTAGAACACATCTTTAAATTATCTATTGATTTTATTCCTCCCCCAAATCTTTATTATGAGAATTTGAAAACTATATGTGAATACCAGATCTCTACCACCTAGACTGAACAATTTTTAATTTGCCATATTTGCATTATGTACACACATGCTTTGGGGCTATACCATTTGAAAGCAAGTTGCAGACATCATAACACTCCATCCCTAATACTTCAGGAGGCCATTTCCCAAGAATAAGAAAATTTTCTTAAATAACATAATGCCATTTCCACACCTCATTAACTAACAATAATTCCTTTAATAAAATCAAATGTCAAGTCCATATTCAAATCTATCTAACCATCATCAAAATGTGGTAACTGTGTTTTCCCTAGGTAGGATCCAATCCAAGTTTATGTGACTATTTCATTTTATCCACTCATCAACTGAGATACATACAAGTTACTAAATGCCTTGCCAAAGACTCTACTAAAGACTATACTATATTGAAAGAATCTTTAGCTCTTGGGTAAGTCCATGGGCTACCATATTTAGACTTATTATGCTTCAAAGAAAGCCTTGGCCACTCTAATTCTTGCTTAAATCAAGATCCTCATTATTATGAATAAATTGCAGAATGTTGGGAAAGAGAAAGTTGTTGCCATATTTTTTAAGGACTTTTTTTTAAAGTAGGGGAAATGGAGAAGAAATTTAAATCACTGATCATTAAAATGAAGAATATCACTATAGGGAATGAAAACACCCTAGAAATCTAAAAGGCCAAAGAAATATAATTTTATCTTCATTAAAAAGTTATAGATATCCATTTCAGGCATTATGGCAGAATAACTATCCTGATTGAACTTCCTGTTGTAACAACTACAGGTGCTTTTAAATTTCATCAATATACTGACAAAGAAATACCCAGAAACCAAAACCTCAAAATTCAGGTAGAGAGAAGTGGAACACCAAGCAAATTTGGCTTCAGGATTTCATAGTCTAGAGCAGCAATTTTCAACTGGTGTGCCAAAAGAATTTTTTAAAATATGCAATACCTGACTCCTTAGTCAGGGGCACTGAACTCTTTTCCCTTAGGTTGTCAAATAAAAAAAAAATGACAACAGCCAATACAATAATAGCTGTCTGGTGTGAATGAGTCAATTATATCCTTTGTGGTTTTTTTTTGGTCAGATTGGCAAAAATATATATTTTTTGGTATGCTGCAGAATTTTAGTAATTAGTTTATGTGCTATGAGATGAAAAAGGTTGAAAATCACTGGTCTGGAGGGGCAAGGGACAAAGCCCCAGGTCACAAGAAACATCCAAATCACATGAAGTTAAGACCCCAAAAAGCTATATCCTCAATATAAGTGTAAACAGAAATTAAACTGTCCCTAAAAAGTCTGCTAGCATAGAATCTTACACATTGAAGGCTGAGGGAAGGGTGTAAAGAGAGGGTCTCTCTTTTGGGACAGTAGCATTTCCAGGAGCAAGAGAGTAGCAAAGCAAATCTCTTCTTGAAGAATCCACCTTTAATACAGGCCTCTAAGAATTTCCATAAGCAAATTTCTAAGAAGTATGAGCTAACAAGATATTATGAATGAAAACCATGATACAATTAGGGTAGCAGGCAATTAAAAAAAGATAACTAGACTCCACCCACTTGGATATTAAAAACATGTTTAAGGAAAAACTGCAAATTTAAAAATATTTAGAACTAAATGAAGAAAATATTACTTATCAAAACTTGTGAGACCTGGCTAAAACAGTACTAAAAGACAGGTATGATACCACCTCTATAAAATTGTTAGAAAAAGCAATATAGTATTACATAATTAGTGTGACTTATACATATTATTTTAAAAGTTTAAGAACATGTACAAGAAGAATATACACTAAATTTATGATAGTAGTTACCTCTGGGAATGAATGGAAAGGAATAGGATTTTTGGTGGTAATGAGAATGGTTTACTTGCATCTGTAGGTTAATCCTACAAATAATAATAAGGATAAAAATAATTTCCTTAAGTGTGGAAAGTATTATTATCTGTTAAATCTTGATAGCTATTTTCTGTATTTGTATGTAAATTAAATTTTTCATAATTTAAAAGTTTTAAAAATATATCATTACCTCCAAGACTTAAATGCAAAAATATTTAAAGATAAATTTTTAAAAACTATCTGATGGGCAATAACGTGGAAGCTAAAATTGACATTTTTATGAAAGGTTTTCCATTCCTATGACATTTTTATGAGTAGGAAGCCAAGAAAGAAACAAACAAAACAAACCCTGGATATTCATGCCAAGTTTCTTCTAAATGCATAATTTAGAAACCAACATTTATAGGACGGGAAAACAAGTATTTTAAACATGACATCATACAGTTTTAATTCATATTAAGTGAAATACTCACATAGTAGTTGTCATTTATTTGAACCATTGGTGCATTTACACAGGCCCCTAAACATTCCACCTCTATAAGAGTGAAAAGTTTGTCAGGTGTAGTCTCTCCGACCTTTATTCCTAAAAATATAAATGATCATTGTAAAGACCAGATTATATTTTTTCCAGTTTTTTTAAACTTATAAATAATTCTTTACTGTTAAAAGTATTACATATGGCCCCCTTTTTCCCCCATTGACCCCCTTCAACTCGCCCCTGCCCCCCAGGTTATATTTTAATAGCAATATGATTTAAGAAAAAAAGAAAAGAAAACCAACGACATGTTACGGAGATATACAAAAAATATTTAAGAGCACTAAATTTCTTAAACAAAACAAGCCTGCACAATTATACTAGAAAATTCAAGGATTCCTTAAGTGAACTCGTTCCTTTAAGAACAATCAAATTTCAGGTGACTCATCTCCAGTGTTTGTTGTCAAATAGCAGTAAAACCGACAGTACAATTTTCATTTTGACAGTGATAATTAACCTACTAAAATCATATTGTAAGACTAGCAAAGCCTCAGAAAACTGCTAATATCAAACATCATTAAGAATGTGACGCCCTAGCTGGTTTGGTTCAGTGGATAGAGCGTTGGCCTGTGGACTGAAGGGTCCCGGGTTTGATTCTGGTCAAGGGCATGTACCTTGGTTGCAAGCTCAGGCTCTGGTCGAGCGCGTGCAGGAGGCAACCAATCAATGTGTTTCACATCGATATTTCTCTGTCTTTCCCTCTCTTCCATCTCTCTAAAGATCAATCGAAAAATATCCTCGAATAAGGATAAAAAAATAAATTTAAAAATAGAATGAGGGGAAAACAATTACTCTAATATCTTTAGAGAAGGCATTTTGTCAAAATCTGACACAGCAATTCTACTTCCTGTAAATAATCTCAGTATATAGCAGGTATGCAAAGAGGAATATACATAAAAGTAACAGCAAAATAACTTAAGAAATAATAGAAATGAGGCAGACATACTTATTATGCTGTAGTCAAAAAAAGTACAAAAAGCAAACACAGACACATTACATTTATGTATTTAATAATGAAAACAATATAAAACCTAAAACTAATTATTCAACTATTATCAGAATTTGTATCTTGAAGGTGGAGGGTAGGATTATGAACAGATTTCAGATTTCTGTTTTATATACTTCAATACTGCTCAAATTTTACCACATCCAAGTACTTTATATTCAGTAACAAAAATTTTTTAAAAAACCAAAAACCTCCTTTTACTTTACTTGATTATGTATAGTTATATGTGCAGTAATGACAGTTTTGTGTGGAAAAATGCCCTTTCAGTTTTGTAAATGCTACTATAATAAAAACCCCATTTCAAATTTCTCTTCCTGACACATTCTTACTATTTTATTTGTCCAAAGGCTAATTTGAAAGGACCTAAGGATAAGATAGTCACTTTTTACATACAACATGCTATTATTACACAATGAAACTTAATTTGTAAATAATGAAAACTTTAAAATTCCTAGCTTTTCCAACATACTTAATGACTAGAAAAAGATAGATGAAAATTCAACTTTGAGGCTGAGAACTAGGAGTACAAAATAAGAAATAAATGTAGACAAACAGTAAGACAAAATTTACTCATGAAGTAGAGATCCAATAAGATGACAAAAGTTGGAAAAGTTAGGTAGAAATTGATCAACTCTAGAAAGACAATTATAATTTTCATAAAAGTTATACGTATAATGTGTCCCATACCAAGCTTTTTCTGAATGGCCTCCAGTATGCTGTCAGAGTTTCGAAGCATGCAAGGTGTAGTAGTGCAGATCTGAATGTGATACTTTCCAACTGGCTTTCGATTATACATTGTATAAAAAGTTGCTACTTCATATACTCTCATTGGAGGTACTTGTAAAACTTCTGCAACCTAAAAGTAGTAGGAAATTTTTTAAAAACATAATTATAAGGTTTAATAATTGAGCTTGGTTAAAAGCATATTTTGTTACTGCTTCAATTTGGTAAAAACAGAAAAGTTCTTCAAAAGCAGAAAATATACCTGTATTTCGTATTTGCTAAGTATAAATCCTTTAATTTTTACAGACATTTTACACTTACACTACAAAGCCCAGAGGCTAATTAATGGTTACCCCAGCCCTTATCTCTGCAAAAGTGTCTTTTTCTCTAAATTTTTAAGTCTCTCATTAAGAATTTCTACTTTGAGCAAAAATTTGGTGACCAAACCCTAATTAAGTTAAATTATATTTTCAACCTTTCACCAATTTTTCAATTATATTTTCAACCTTTAACCAATTTTTCAAAAAGGCCTTGATGTAACTGGTGAAGTATAGTGTGTGCAAATGCCACTAGCCTGTATTGGTACGTACAGACAGACAGACACACACACACACACACACACACACACACACACACACACACACACACACACCCCTTCAGAACAATCAAACCTTATTATTTCCAATGGATCTTCTGGACTAGTACTTCCCAACCTTTCACATCAATGAATTTACAGAAAATACTTGTTTTGATATACCGGGGAGGCAGTGGGGAGGTGAGAGGTGGAGAGTGAAGGGGTGTGGGGGTGGGGGGTGTTCAGGACCAAGGGACTCAATATTTGAGCACAACTCTCTCGGTCAGGGCAAGTCTGTTAGAGAAAACAGGTTTTTTAGCTATTTGCTAGGGTTGGTCCACACACAGTCTATCATGACTATGATCCTGGCTACAACTTTTTGGGTGATTTAATATTACCTGATCAGGTCTTAAGATTTGCTATCTGATATTCTTTTTATATATATATATTTTATTGATTTTTTACAGAGAGGAGGGGAGAGGGATAGAGAGTTAGAAACATCGATGAGAGAGAAACATCGATCAGCTGCCTCCTGCACGCCCCCTACTGGGGATGTGCCCGAAACCAAGGTACATGCCCTTGACCAGAATCGAACCTGGGACCCTTGAGTCCGCAGGCCGATGCTCTATCCGCTGAGCCAAACCAGTCAGGGCTGATATTCTTAAAAATTATGTATATATTCTCGTTTTGACATGAAAGAAGAGCTCATTAAACTGCATTTCTGATGTGTTCTCAGAAGACATCTAAACACAGCTCACCTGGGAAAAGATTAATTTGGTAATACTAAACCAGGTATGTACCTCTAAATCTGGGGAGCTCTCTCAAAATACACATGCTGAAGCCTGAAAATATATGTACTGGAGCCCTACCACTGGGAGTAAGGCCCTGGCGTCTACTTTGAAAAAACTTCCCTGGGGCTGCTACTGTGCACCATAGTGATGGTTAAGGAACTAATGTGTGAGTTTTTGGATTTTGTTATTGTTGTAAGGCTGGGCTTTGGGGTCAGAGAGAAACAGTAATATTAAAAGTCTCAGATGTAAAATGGAAAGAATCTTGATCCTATTCCAGTGATGGCGAACCTTTTGAGCTCGGCATGTCAGCATTTTGAAAAACCCTAACTTAACTCTGGTGCCATGTCACATATAGAAATTTTTTGATATTTGCAACCATAGTAAAACAAAGATTTATATTTTTGATATTTGTTTTATATATTTAAATGCCATTTAACAAAGAAAAATCAACCAAAAAAATAAGTTCGCGTGTCACCTCTGACACGCGTGTCATAGGTTCACCATCACTGTTATTCTTTATATGCTATTTTCTGCTTTTACACATACACATCCAATTCGAAATAGAACAGTACTTCTGAAATGTTCTCACATTAGTTTCTCATTTATTTTATTTTGCTCTACTAAATTTGCCATGCTGCAAGACTTTCAACAAGCTTGTCATTATTTAAAAAAATACATTTTTGCTAAAAGGTATCTATGATTTAAAAACATACCTCAATAATTATTTATAAAGTTGGCTATTATACTATAGAAACCAATATAAGTTATTTAGAAACCACCAAAGAAATATGTGATTAATTGAAGAAAAAAACAAACAAACACACATCTGGCTATGTTTACTAACTATGGTACCAACCAAACTTGCTTTATAACATCTTTTCATAGTCAAAAAAATACTAAGGGTCCACAACAGTGTTAGGGTACTATACAAAGCAAGTAAGAGATAAATGAACTAAATAAAAAATCTGCACTTGGGATTCCATTAGATAAATTGAGGACATTCCTACTCTCCAAGAAAGATGACAATGGTAACAGACCAAATAAAATTTAAAAAGTGAAAAGAGAAATAAAGTAGAGCAGAATCCCTGTAAGTCAATTAGAAAATGTAAAGAATTAGAAGTAGTTCCCAGCTCTTATAATTTAGAAATCATAACAACACTTAGAAAATATCTACTTAGTTCAAAATCTTCATTGCAGTTGAGGAAGTATGTCCAAAGAAAAATGACTTAACTCAAAGTCAAATATATTTTCCATTACATCACACTTACTAGTTTTGTGATTCTCGTAAGAATCAAATACCGTATATGGTTTTGTATAAGCACTTTGTAAACTATACACTTTAACATAATACCACACAAATGTAGTTATATTAATAGAATAGGAATAAACTTGATATTTGGATTAGTACTGAAAATACAATTAGTAAAAGAAACCTGAAATCTTGAATATGTATGAGTAGACTAACTTCATTTAAATGGGTCACTCATAACATTTCTGTGGGTTGCTGATTCCAAGGTGCCACAATCAAGTGTCATATATCATATATTGTATAGGTTTTTGTTAAAGCCTGTCACCAAAGATAAAAATATTATAAAGATTCACCATTAGCTATAAGCAGATCCTTTTTTCTTTAATTCTGGTGTTTAAATAGTACATTGATTTTCAGAATATCTTGATAGCAAATTATACACATTTGGGATCTTTTATCTGTAGTATGACCAAAAAGAAGGGAAAAAAAGAAAACCTCATTATAATGCTTTTACTATTTCTTACAAGGATAAAAAACTCTACTTTTTCTGTGTTACTAAGGGAACCAACAAAAACATATGTAATTTGAGAAAACAAATAATTAAAGGACTTCAAACTCTTATATTTTGACATTAATGACTGTCAGAGGAATTTCTATACAAGAAAGTTCATACACAATCTCCTTTTTTTGAACTAAGGCAAAAATGAATTCAGTACCTTGTTCATAGCAGAGATAGGCAGCCATCCATTCTGTCTTTGGGCCAAATCTAAGACTGGAAGCACAGCTGCTGCTTTATGCCCTTCTGGATAGTTTTTTACAATTGCCTCTATCCTCTGTATCAAAGGAAAAGCACCCATTTTTATAAATCTGGAAGATACTAAATATTTTGTACCATTAATTATAACATTAATTTATCATACCTTATAGTTTTCTGGTGTGAAATCAAATGGAGTATCTGGGTTATTCTCAGGAGTATCTCTGTGCTATACAAAAGGAAAAAAATATTTTCCAAAATGATCAAAATTCCTCAAAAGTGTGAATAATTTTGCACATTACTGTTGCTCATTTAATCTCTTCACTTTATTTTCAACACAATACAAATCAATCTATCCTTGCATCAAAAAGAATGGCTAAACTAATTAGTAAATACACATGTGATGAGTATGATTACCCAAGTAATGTTAGCAGAATTCAAAATTTTGGACAGTTTTAGAAATTACCATTTAATGGTTTAAGAGAAGTAGCTTTAGGACCAAAAAACAAAGGGTTATCCAACTTGATTAGAGGATAGGATCTTCGAATGTAATTACCAAAACATTACTAATTATTGGAAGCCTTATGAAGACAGAATTTTCAGTGTGAACATACGTGTATTTTTCCAAAGAGAGTGTATCAAATTGTCAAAGGGATTCACTTACTTTAGGGAAGGTACAAAAGCCTTCTCCACGTAACAGAAACTAGCCAACAGCTAGTTTTCTGTAATAAAAACTAGCCAACAGCAAGAAGCTTTATTTTTTCTCCATAAAAAAGCAAGCCCTCTTTAAAAACTGACAAGAAATGGCATGTCAACAGGAAATCAAATGAGTCACACTAAGATTAACACTTACAATGATTAATGTTTTGTACGTAAGGTGAACACAGAACTGAATCTCTTAATATGTTAACTCTCGGTTCTTTTTCAAAGACACACAAGAAAAAAGAAAATTAAAACTTTGGACAATGATCTCAAACACATGGCATATTTGATATGTCTTTAGACAAAGATGATAAAATATAAAGCAGAAATCTACTTATTGATAGTATGCCAACTAACATTAAGATTCAGCTTGGGAATAACTCAGTTTACAAGACTATACCACTAACTCTAAATCATACTAGTCCAGTAAATTGCCTTTAAACAAGACCAGATTAATTCCTGAACACTGTACCTTTGCCAGAGAAGAGGGATAAATTATCTTATATTTTCTGAAATTGTGCAACTAAGCTAGGGAGTTCGCTGACCTTTACCTGTAGTTAACCCTGGGAACCAAAAATACAAAGGCCAACTACCAACGTATTCATTCTATTACTAAAATCTGTAAGTTTCAAACTAGTGCCATTTTGGGATTCCCCAAGTTGCAGCCTCAGAATCTTCAGTGAACCAAAATGACTGAGTTTTAAGAATTCAAAGTGTGAAATTAGGTTAAGGCTCATTCATAGTAATTTCACCGAATAATAATCTAAATTCTTATTCTTAGATTTGCTCTGGTACCAATTTAAACTTAAGAAGTTCAACTGGAACCACATATATCTTTTTAAAAGTAGTGAATTCAATTATCTATATTTAAATTCCCACAATGGCCAGGATATACTAAAGACATGGCTATTTAGGATTATTATAACAAAGTTACCCAAATTTTCAAGCCTTTCATTCTGAAGAAATCTAAGTTAATTACTTACCACAAATAAGGCTCCTCCAGCTCCATTTTGCACAGATGTCTTATGCAAATTCCTTATATGTCTTCCCTAAAATTTTAAGAAAATTTTGTAAATCACAAGCCTTAAGAAATTTTTCATATGGAAATACTTTAAGATCCATAACTACAAACAATAGAATCAACTTACAGAAGTAAAAGATCTTAAGAGTTATAGTCTACTACAGTACATCCTGCCCATTCTATTTTAGGAGAGGTATAAAAAAGCAGAGGTCCAAAGGTAAGGTTATTTACTTGCCTAAGGTCACACATAGAGTTAGTGGAAGAGCCAGGATCAAACCCAGTCATGTATCCTTTCTACAACACTCTGTTAGCATACATTTGAAGAGTTAATATACCATTAACTTACAGCCTTTCACTTTTGTGTGAATCAAGTTGGAGGCCAGCTTTCATTTAGTGTGGATATTCATAAACATGTTTTCATTCTGTACAAATGAGTCATATACTCTGTATTAATGAGTCAACTGCATCCTCCTTTTCAATTCTTTACTAAATTAGTTTAAAAACTCCAGCCATAAAAAGTTTCAGAAAGCTGCTTATGATGGATGCTCTATAGACTAACCATACCCAATTGTTTGGAAGAAACCCATTTGAATCCCCTCTCCTTTGCATTTCATTTCTCTTTGCTCTGTTGCTTCTCCTATCATTCCTACCTTCTCCACCTCTCCCCCACCCAACACCCACTCCCCCCCAAAGCAATTCAACTGTGGTTCAGAAATCCTCCAAAGTCTGAGTTCTACTAAACACAGATGGTAGAACATTGGATTACCAAGCATGGAACTGGCGAAGAGTTGGACAATTCAAAGAAGGCAAACATAACAGAAGTAAAGGTAGTGATATAACACAATCATATATTTACCTGTTCCTGATAGTTAAATTTATTAGCCATCATAGCTATGTAATTCTGCGATTTAATCCCAAATAACTGCTTCTCTACAGAAAGGATTCATAGATTTGTCATATACTTCTACAAATAGGTAGGTTCTGCACCTTTTCACCTCTGAAATTTTCAAATACGTTTGCCTACTATATCGATCCCCAAGGAAACCTAGTAACTTTTTTATGCAGAGAAATGCCATATTATGATTACATTGTTTCCTATCTTTATGTCAATTTGCTATTCATGACAACTTTTAAAAAATTATGCCTCACCTTGCTTAAAAAAAAAAGTAACAAAATATTTCTTTTAACCCAATGGTAATTCAGCTTTAGACAGTCATTACAGACAGTGGCTTAAACCATGATCATGAAAAACATTCCACGATCCCCTTCTCTCACTTACTCTCTCTCATTTTAGATAGTCACCAAGTCCTACCCATTCTACCTAAACAACTTTTAAATTCTGTTTTTCATACTACTTCATGTTTCTTACAACTATCCCCAGTTCAAACTCTTTTCATTTCCCTCTTAGACTACCGCAATAGCCTTCTGTCTCTTGCCTTGCAATCTCACCCTTCTCCACATCTCCAGAGATTTTTGTCCTAAAATTATGATGGGGGAGAAGGAGGTGGCTGCGGTGGGGATCAATCTAAACTCACTGCCTACAGAATAAAATCTAAACTCTGTGGTATGACATACCAAAGGCCTCTACTCTGTGATCTATTCCAGTCTCACCTTCCACAGCAGGTTATTCTTGTCCATAGTGTCATGCTCTCTCACATTCACTGTCCTTGTACACGGAGCTACCTGTACTGACAATGTTATGTCACCCTATACCTCCCTCATCCATCATGACCAAGGTTAACCTCCTCCTCTTATCTAAGGCCCCTGAACCAGAGTCTCTCTTCCCTAAGCAAAGTGAAACCACTTTATAGCACCTATTAAATTTAAAACTTCACCATCCACACCAACTTTCCTCAGTAAACTTGAGCGATTTCAGAAAGGTAGGTTAAAAAAAATTTTTTTAAATAGGACTTGCAAACAAACCCAGTTCAGGCTTATTCTATGTAATTTTGGGCACATTTGCTTGGGCATCTTCAGATTCTCACCTACAAAATGGGATAACACCCAGCAAAGTATCCCACATATAAAGTTGCTTTCCTTCTCCCCCAACAAGGCAAAGCAAAAAGTGTTTGAACATGGTCCTTAATGTTTACTGAAAGAAATTTCCTGATTTATAACATGCTTCCTGACCTGACTCCAAAAGTGGTGAGTCAAGGTTTCCCAATGGAAAACCAGACCAACATGGTAAATGAACCTACAATTTATTACCAAATGTACTGCACTGATATTAAACAGTGCTAAAGAGAGGGAAGTTCAGCTATTTAGATATTTGAAATGGAGACTGAGTTCACATATCCAATAGAAAGATCTGAATTTGTAGTATGCCAAAAATGGCCTACTGAACCTCACGGAATACTTAAAAATCTGTCATTTTCTTTCCCCTAAATTGTTTAAGGCTGAAAAAAGAAATTGTTTAGGGCTGTGTTAGGCAGAATAATAATGTCTCAAAGATACCCATGTCCTAATTCTGAGGAGCTGTGAATATGTTAATATACACAGCAAAGGAGCTGGAATTAAGGTTGCTAATCAGTTCACCTTAAAATAGGGAGATCATTCTGGATAATCAGAGTCCAAGGTAATCACAGGGGCCCTTAAAATTTGGAAGAGGGAGCAAAGTCAGAAAAGGATGTGACAAATGGCAGAAGCAAGGTCAGAGTGATGTGACATGAGAAACTCCTCGGCCCTTGCTGGCTTTGAAGATGGAAGAGGGAGGGCCATCATCCAACAAATGAGAGCAGCTTCTAGAAGCTGGAAAAGCTAAGAAAACAGATTCTCCCCTAGAGTCTCCAGAGAGAAGTGTACCTTGATTTTAGACCATGTCAGACTTTTAACCTACAGAATCATAAGACAGCAAATTTGTGGTGTGTTATGTCACCAAGCTTGTGGTAATTTGTTACAGCAGCAATAGAAAATTAACACAAATGCCTTTTTTCTTTTTACTTTTAAGAACTTTAGAATCTTTAAGGCAAAATGGAGATACCTTGGGACATTGCAAAATCAGGTTTAAAAATCAACAAATAGGTCTAGAGACATGGAAGCATGGAACAGATTCACAGATCTCAGAGGGAAGGGAGGAAGGCAGCGGTGCTGGGGGGGGGGGGGTTAACCAAAGAACTTATATACATATATGCATAGCCCATGGACACAGACAATAGTGCGGTGAAGGCCTGGCGTGGGGTGAGAGTCAAGTGGAGGGGGGCAAAGGGGACAAAATGGGGACATCTGTAATACTCTCAACAATGAAAGTAAATTAAGAAAAGCAATATATAAAAAATGAATCTCTAATGGAATGAGAGCATTTCATTCTATAAAACCTAAAATTTAGAAAGAAAAATGCCACCACAGAAGGTTCTACTTCTAGTGTAGTTGAATAGATATTATCAGTCCAAACCACTGAGTAACAATTACAAACTCTGGACGAAATATTTCTTTTAAAAAATAAGAGAACAAAAAACTTTCTGAAAGCACTGGAGAAAAACCAAATGCATGCAGACACAGGAGGGAGGGGAAGCCTATACTTAGAAGAGAAGTGAGTTGTTGTTTTTTCCTTACATCTTTTAGCCTGAAGGCAGGCCCTCAACAGTACAGGGCAGGAAATCCCAAAAAAGGAATAGCGAGGAGAAAACCCAAATTCTGTGGATGACCCCAAATCATTCATGCTCATGAGGCAGATTCCAAGCAGCTCTGGTAAAAGAACTAAACCAATATCTGAGTTGCTGCCCTCAAGGGAGTTGAATTTGCAGTTTGAGTTCAATTACATTAACTGCTTACAACAACAACTCTTCGGAGGAATTAACAAAATTTAAAGCCTCTATGACATACCATCCTCAATCCAAAATCACTCAACATAAAAAACCCACATGCGCATACACACAAAAGAAAACAACCCATTTTCAAGAAAAAAATCAATGGATATTACAAGACAATTTCAAAACAGCTGCAACTCTGCTTAAGGACATAGAGAAAAATATCAATGACTGAAAAGACAGAAATAGAAACCATAAAAATGAAACATGAAAATTCTAAAACTGAAAACACAATCCCTGAAAATACAACCCTCTCACCCCTACAAAACTAAGTACTGGCTTGGGTGTGAGGCAGTAATGAGCTGTATACAGTGGTGTCAACATTACAGAAAGCCACAGGCAGTTACTAAAGGAAAGAAGAAAAGTCTATTCTGAGTACCTATTCATCCATAATTCATAATTTTTAGGCAATTCTTGACAATCACTCAGGTATTACTGCACTTTACAGAAAGAAAATGAGGATCAAAGAGATTAAGAAATATGGCTCAGGTTATAGAAGTAGTGTCTTCCAAGCAATTCTAGACACAGTACTAAGTTCTTGATATTTTTTAAGCAATGATGAGCTGAAAAGCCTGTTGCTGAAGAAAACAGCAGCTAGCTAACAAAGCATAAATTATAACAGAATAAGCAATGTAAATGGTTTGAAAATGTAAATGGCTTCTTTAAAGGTTTCTCTTTTAGGAAAGCAATTTTATTAGGAACCTCTTTATTCATACTTTTCCTGATTTTTCCTAGGTCATCTGATATCCCACTATTTGTAAAATATTAGAAGACAGGCCTAGTTATATAAATTATAGAACATACAATGGAATGCTATGCAGCATTAAAAATGACCGTATAAAGTGTCTGCTGATAAGGAAAGCTGATCAAAACGTATTATGAGGAATAAAACAGGCTACAAAATTGTGTGAACAATATCACCTGATTTTTTTAAAGTTCTGTTAAGGTCTATTAATTGCAGACTTCAAAATGTTAAACATTTTGGTAATTTCCAAGTTGAGACTATGGGTGATTTTCATTTTTCTATTTGCTGTTCTTAATATATTTTTCTGACAATATGTTACTTGTGTAATTAAAAAATTAAACTTGTAAATCACACCGTCATGCTGTATACCTTAAACTTCTACAGTAATGTATGTTGACTATTTCTCAATAAAATTGAGGGGAAAATGAACAAAAAAATTAAACTTATTCATCAACTCAACAAGTATTTACTAGGTACATACTACATACCAGGTAATGATTAATAAAAAATAGAGAAAGTTGCCAAAGTTAACATAAAACAATGTGATTTGCCTGGCTGGTGTGGCTCAGTGGTTGAGTGTAGACCTATGACCAGGAGGTCACGGTTCGATTCCCAGTCAGGGCACATGCCCAGGTTTCGGTCTTGATCCCCAGTGTGGGGCATGTAGGAGGCAGCCCATCAATGATTCTCTCTCATCATTGATGTTTCTATCTCTCTCTCCCTCTCCATTCCTCCCTCAAATCAATAAAAATATATATTAAATTTTAAAAAAACAATTTGATTTTCTTCCACTACCTGAAGTTTTTTTTTCAGTTAACACTGTTTTTCAATTTACACCCTCTAACCTCTTCCCTCAAAAACAAAAGAAACCAAAATCTATCTGTACTCTATATCCTTTCTACTAGTAGACAAGGTCTGATCCTCATTAGTCTCACCTGGGGTTCTGCAAGAGCCTCTAATCTGGTCTCCCTGCCTTTGGCTCCCATCAAACCTATTTTCCTTTCAGTCCCATCCAGAGATCCATCCAAGGCAGAAACCTGACCATGTCCCTCTGCTCCTCTAGAACCTTTCACTGATCCTCCACTGCCTCTAAGATAAAGTCAAATTCTTCAGGACAGCATGAAAGGACCTCCAAGATCTGGGCCCTGCCACCTCTCTCATTTCATCTTGGAACTCTCCTTACCTCCCAACAATGGAGTCTAGCAACACAGCTTGTGCTTCTCATACCTTCAAGCTCTCTCTTGCCAACTATCAATAGTCTTTTCTCGCATTGTCTTTCCTCCTATACAAGACTATTAACGCCACAAGAACAGGGGCTGTCTAAATCTGATTATGTAAAATGGGGAAATCAGAGTACCAACCTCACAAACGAGATTTAGAACGTAAATATTTAACACAGTGCTTGGCACATAGAACGTAGTCACCAAGTGTCACCTACCCTCCTTACCCACACTGTTACCTGGAGTCCACAGTGCATGACCCACAGTGGGACCACAAACGTTTATTAAAAGACTAAACTCTGCAAATTACAATATTCCCATCTTACAACTGAGGAAACTGAGAAAAATAACAGCCAAAGTCACAAAGCGAAAGACGCCGTGAGGTCACCATGCAAACTCTGGTGTCACCCTAAAGCCCTGAGCTCATTCTATACTCCTGGGCGCTATCTACATCCCTCTCTTCCGCTGCGAACTGACCAACCCTTCTATTTTACTGCAGAGACAAAAAGGCGGCGTTCTTTACAGTAAATGCCCTGTGGTTACAATTTCTGGGATCTGCATTTTAAGTGAACTTGAATGCTGCAACCTTTCTGAGATTCCATTTCTTGGCCTAAAATGAGATGCAGTTGGATCTACAAGCACCATTCAAGCTCTAAAATCCTGCTGTGCGGTATTTGTGCCGCTGTTCCTTTACGTCGCTCGATACGACGTGCCCAACTTTTCCGACACGCAAGGCACAAAAGAAAACACTGTGGTCGCCCTTCTCTTGGCCTCGGGAG